ATAAGCACACACCACCCAGCGATGTTAATGTTTCTATTTTTTGTAGAGACGGGCGTCTTACTCTTGCTCAGGCTGGTCTCTAACTCCTGGCCCCAAGCAGTCCTTCTGCCTTAGGTACCACCGATGATTCATTTGTTCCAAAGCATGAATCATTACAAATATCAAAAGAACAAATTGTTCAGAATATTATTTGTACCTGCTAAGTGTTTGAGATGTTAACTCTTGTTAATTTAGCTTATTAATATTTATTCAATGCCTACCTTATGTTTAGTGCCATGTTAGGTACTATAGGAAAATATATGACACAACTATCTTTAAGAGGCTCATGATCTAGTTGGGGAGAAAAAAGTGGCATATCTTTGTTATGGACCAAGCCACAGTTTTGCCTTAGACTCAAAAATATGTCACTATTTTTTTAAAGGAGAATTAGTCCCTGAAATGACTGCACACACCATTTTCTTTGTTCACAGCATTCTTTATGGAAGTTTGACTCTTTAAAACAACAACGTAAAATAGTAAATAAAAAAGCACCATTAAAGAACAGAAGTAATTTAAGATTTCAGTGAAGGCAGGTATGAAGGTGTTCAACAGGGATGGGGAAGACTTGAGGAAATAAGTAATATATATAAGGTCTAATTAGGTGGACAAGTAGGAAGATTGCCTTCAAGAAGCAAACAAAGCATGATGAGCAAGAGCCTAGAGAGACCATACAGAGGACAGTATGGAAACTGACCCAGGTTATGTGCACATGTTTATGAAGGAGAAAAAGAAGCTGGGTTGGATAAGAGAGCCAGTGCCAAGCTGTGGAAGAAACGGCAGGCTAGAGGTGTTGAGCAAGGGGGAGATGAGATGAAAGCAGTCTTGTGGGAAGATGCTTTGACGGGATGCTCAAGATGGTTTAGAGAGGGAAAGATTAAAGTCATGGAGACAATTAGACTGTTTAGCCATTGCAATGCCCCACATGTGAAAGGAGGAGGCCTGAAACAGTGTGGTGGCAGAGAGAAAGGAGCTTATTTAAAGCTCAAAGCCAATCAATATTTTGGCTTTGAGATTAATGATTGCTGGTAGGGTAAATATCTAAGATGATAACATCTTGAGAAAGATGATGGTAATAGTGCAGGGATAGTGAGGTAAAGAAAACTTACTCTTCAGGAGAGAAAGTAAAGTTAGTTTGCATAGGCATAGATAGGTAGGTTAACAGTCTGGAAAGTGATTTAAAAAAAATTCATAATTCTACCACTTTAATACAACTGTCCTTTATTTCATCTGTATTTTGCCTTGTAGCCCTGGTTCACGTACCCATATGGTTACATACCTGTAATCATAAATGTACATGTCATTTTGCCTTTTTAAAATTAGTTCATCATAAACTCTATTTTCATGTAATGTTTATGATCATAAATATTATTGGTTGAGTGCTTGCCCTTTAATCTGATATATTCTCAGAGCTTCATATTGGTATTGTTCATTCCTGTGAACAAGAAAAGATTAACAAATGTTTGTTTAATGAAAGAATTATTGACCACATAGATTATTTTCATGCTTTGTAGAAGTTGCTACAACAAATATGTATATGATAGCTTTGGTTTTATGTTTTTCTTTTATTTATTTATTTATTTTTGCTTCTATTAATTGTTTCCTTACATTGATAACAAATTCTCAAGATTAGAATCGCTATGTAGAAGTCTATTTGCAGGACATCTAATCTAGATGGCTGCCGTGTACAAGGGGATGTTTGGAAACACATGCTGGAATTGTGTGAAAGGTCCATGCTGTTCAGTAGAGAACCTAAGTCCCAAGGTTCAGTTAAGGACCTGGGCTTTGATGGTTCCAGGTTTTTGTGTGCTTTTTATAAGCTGTTTTCTTATCCATTTAGTAACTAACAGAATTACTCATGTAATGAGCTGTTTTTGTGGTTTGCCATTATTTGGAGGAATGAAGACAGTTCCAGCAAAAACTTTCTTGATCATTAATGTCCTACAAGACTTCAGTTTGGAAAACATTGCCTGCGTGTATATTCAGCCTAGAGTTTATATCTTCTGTGTGTATGGAGTCCATAAAGAGCTCTCTGTCAGGTGGAGCAGCGTTTGGCTGAGAGACAGCTTGACATACACTGAATTAAATGAGTTTATTTTCCTCCTGCAACAACATGTCCTGAGATAGGCAGATGGGGGTGGCTGTTATGATGGGTCATGATGTCATTGGAGCACTAAACTCCTCTGTCTTCTTAGTGCATCTTTGTTAGTCTGTGGCTTTTATCTCCTGATTGCAAGGTGGCTACTATTCGTTCATCCAGTTGTGTGTTCTTGTTTTATGTAGAAAAATGAGGAATGGACAAGGACAAAAGGTTGAAAGGGTTTGCTGTGGAATTAACTTTTAGAAAGCTTTCCTGGAATCCTCACCCAGCCATTTCTGCCTATATCTCCCAGGCTAGAACTATGTCACATGACCAACCCTAACTGCTGGGGAAAAGGTTAGCCTTTTTAGCAGAGTGTTGCTTTCTCTGATAAAACTGTGGGTCAGTTAGGAAGGAAAGGAGACTGGATATTGGGTGTGCAACCAACATCTGCCACCATCTTTGGGTGACACACTGACACTACTCCTGACAGCACACTCATTGAGATGGTGAGTCAGGCATCGATATTTATATTACACAAGTGAAGAAATAAAAAAGATATGAATTTATGAGGAGTCCATGAAATAGCTATGGCTGTGATGAATTTGTGTCTGCTGGATTTTAGTTAAAAAGCAAAAGAATGTATGTTATTTTATGCCCTAAAAGCCAGCCAAATTAAATCTTAGAATGCTGCAAAGTTTGTGTTCAAAGTTAAGAATTAATGTTAAATAGCTCTATTACTGGCAGATACAATTAAGTAGGTTACATTAAGGGCTAAGAAATACTCAGGGTGCATCAGTTTGGCTAGGGCAACACTTAGTAACTGTTGAATAACCCTTAAGAAAATTTGGATTTATAAAACCCAACTGAGTATGCTCAAAATAGCCACAACCCCAGGGTTGTACTCAGCACTTAAAATGTAAAATTTTGTTTCTTTTTTCTGACTCGGAGGTCTCCCCTGTCACACATTCATTTACCTGGTGCTCTAATCTAATGGTTCTTAGTTCTCACTGTGCATTGGAATTACTGGGGAGCTTTCAAGAAATCAAGCCAGAGTCCCACGGCAAATATTCTGATTCTGGTCTGGAGCCACTTATAAGTGAGAAGTAATGAGGGATTGCACTCAGGCAGCGGCAGTGGAGCTGCAGGGGGGAGGACAGCTTTGAGATCTATTTACGACAGCACCATCCAATAGAACTTTCTGAAGTGATGAAATGTTCTGTTTGCACTGTCTAGTATGGTCCACAAGCCACATGTGATTGGTTGAACATGCATAATGTAGCAAGTGTGATTGACAAGTGACTAAACTTTTAATTTAGTAACTTTAAATAGCTACAAAGCACTCGTGGCCACCTTATTGGACAGTGCAGATTTAGGTGGTAGAATCAATACGCCCTGCTTGCCTAGGGGTAGAGGGAGGGAGAAGTAGAGGAGAGGGAGGAGTTAAGCAGAACCTCAGAGTTTCTACCCCTGGTGGGGGGTAGGTAGTAATAGTTCCGTTATGGGGAGGAGAGTGGCGGCAAGTAGGTATGTGTTTCTTACATTAGGGCCTCAAATGACTAGCATGTGGCACAATGCTTAGCCTGTTATAGGTGCCTGATCCATGTTGGATTGTTTCAGTGAGTCTTGGTAAGGATTCACAGCTCCTGTGTTATAATTATTTAGTATAAATACAATCTAAAGCTTTAGTCCTCAACCCCCAGGCCATGAACCAATACTGGTCCTTGTCCTGTTAGGAACTGGGCCTCACAGAAGGAGGTCACCGGTAGGCAAGTGAGCGAAGCTTCATTTGTATTTAAAGCAGCTCCCCATTGCTCACATCGCTACCTTAGCTCTGCCTCCTGTCAGATCGGAGGTGGCATTAGATTCTACATTATGGTGAGTTGTATAATTATTTCATTATATATGACAATGTAATAACAGAAAAAAAGTGCACAATAAATGTAATGCAACTTGAATCATCCCCAAACCATTCTCTCCCTCCTATCCATAGAAAAATTGTCTTCCTTGCAACTAGTCCCTGGTACCAAAAAGGTTGGGGACTGCTGGCCCTAAGTCCAAGAGTTCGAGGATGCAGTGAGCTATGTTGTGCCACTGCATTCCAGCCTGAGCGACAGACTGAGACCCTGTCTCTAAGAAAATAAATAAATAAATTAAATAAAGCTGCCTGTGAATGGTTTTTCTTCCTGTTAAATCTTTTCTCTTTCTCTCTTTTTAAAAATCAGGTATCAAATTGTAGTGGAAATAATCCAAGCGACTACAATTAGCAGCTTTCCCCAACTGAAGAGGCACAAGGGTAAGAACCAGTTTGTTTTCCTCAGTGACACATGCTAACGTCTCTAGGTCTATCCACCAACCCCCTTCTCTCTCCTGTCTGATTTTTGGCAATATGAGCATTCTTTTGGCTTACATTTAAATATTTCAAGTTTATTAAAATATTCAATTATTAAAATAATATAATAGCATTAGAGAAAGTAAGTATAATTTCATCCTAACAAAAACCTTTATATTTCTGTATTCCCTTATAAACTTTATTCATCTGTTGTCATAATTTTTAGAAGGTTAAAATCATTGGATATATAGTGTTTCTGTTCTGTTTTTAAATTAAACATGATTACATGATTTTTTCATATATTGAAATTTAATTTTAATATTCATTAATATTTCTATCTTAAAAAATGATAAACATTTAAATGACTCCAGTGTTTCATAATTTATTTAATCTTTTCCTTTACTTAAGCATTTGGATTGTTAGTAGTTGTTTTTTTTCCCTGCTTTCCACTCTTGCGTTGTAGATTAAAAAAAAAAAGTCTATTTTTTTTCTGTTTGTTTCTCTTCAAATGAAGTAAGATTTTTACCCAGCCTTGACACTAAGGAATAATTAAAGTATAAAGATGACTCTCAACTCCTTGTAGTTTGCATGGTAGTAAAACATTCCCCCTCATATAAATGAAGTTAGAGAACATGTTAAAATCTAGAATACAGAGCAGCTCTTGATTCGCAGGTGAGAGGCAACAAATACTACTTTCACCTTGTAGAGCAGACTTCCCACAAGACTCTCCAGACCTGTCCCAGTGCCTGTCAGGGAGTAGAGGGCTAAAAGAAAAGGGAGTAGTTGGGCCATGACAGGCTTCTAGGTTTCTCATTAGCATACAGCCGCAAAAGGGAGCTCAGGCTGGAGACTTGTCTCCCTGAGTCACTGACACAAGATAGGTACGTGTATAAAGCAAGTGAAGGTAGACCATGCAGAGGCACTAATTCTTAATCTCAGCCTAGTAAGGAAGACTGTACAAATACGTTCATTCAACAGTGTTTACTGAGCCCTCACTAGATGATAATCATACAGTAGTAAAAAAAACAAAATCTCTGCATTGTGTCCCTAAAGGAGGCTGGGAGGCAACCAGACAATAAACAAACAAAGTACACAGTATTTCAGATGTTGTGTGCTTGAAGTAAAACAGAGTGCCTAGGGGAAGGGAAGAGGTGGTGGGGTTCTGCTGGAAGGGAGGCTAATTTTGCATTCACACAGTGAGTTGGGGAAGATCTCCCCTAAATGGAGACCTCTGAGCAGTGATCTGGGAGCCTGAGGGTATCTGGGGAAGGGGGGGGGAGGTGCGAAACCCTAAGGCAAAAGCTTGCAGTGTTTGAGGAAACTGATGTGGCTGAAGAAAGGGCTCAGTTGGTGGAGCGAAGCCAAACATGGACCCAGAGGTGGCTGGGAGCCCAACTACAACGGCCCTTCCTGGTGCTGTGGGGGCTTTGTCTTTCATTCTCAGTGAGGAAGGACGTCTTCATAGGCTTTTGAGTTGAGGAGACTTGATCTGATGAATTCCTACAAGAGTACAGGCTCCGTTCCTCAACTTTTGCTCACTGTTCTTGCAGAGAAGATGCTTCACTTTCAGACCGTTTGACAGATGCTTCAGAGACTACTAGAGAGCCATGTCTTCTTGCCACCATTACCTTTTTTTAGTGCCCCTCCTTGTTGTTATGAGTTTAATCAGAAAAATACCTTTCTTATTTTGTTACTCTATTAGTTTGCTTGGGCTACCATTCTATAGTACCACAGAGCAGGTGTTTGAAACAACAGAAATTTACTTTTTCACAGTTCTGGAGACGGGAAGCCCGCAGTCAGGGTGTTGGCAGAGGTGGTTCCTTCTGAGGGCTGTGAGGGAAGGGTCTGCTCCTGGCCTGTCTCTTTGGCTTGCAGATGGCCACCTTCTCCCTGTGTCTTCATATCATCTTTCCTTTGTACCTGTCTTTCCTTTGTGTCTGCATTTCCTACTCTTACAAGGACACCAGTCCTGTTGGATTAGGGCCCACGCTAATGACCTCATCTTAACTTGATAACCTCTGCAGAGACCTTATCTCCAAGTAAGGTCACATACTGAGGTACTATTGGTTAGGACTTCAACACATGAATTTATTTTGGAGGTGTGGAGAAGGACACAATTCAGCCCGTAACAATATGTTACTAGACATTCTCTGTGACTTTTGTTTCTCTCATGTCTCTGTTTTCCATTTAAGCTGTCCTCACAACTGTCTTGGGGATCGTGGCTTCTTTCTATTCAAGCACTGAGGGAAAGACCAACAAACTGAGCACACTTGGGGCCTTGGAGCTATTTTGCCTTGTGACAGCAACCATGGGAGACTGGTTTCATAACTTCTCATAACTTCACATAACTTCACAGTGATTATCATCGCCACCCTCTGTGTCTGCATAGTATGTGCTCTAGAGTCTAGACTTCCTGCTTTCTGCAGTTTTGTTAAACTGCCAAGATTAGCTCTTACATGTTAAGTATTTAACCTGAGAATGTGTGCTCATGTTATATGTATAAGGAAGAATTAAGTGGCAAGAAGTTACTCTTAATGTGGAGTATTCTGGTTGAATTTTAACTATAACTGAAGTATTTGATTTATTCTAAGTACTAGTTTCTGTCTACCTAAAATAATCAAAAAGGTCAGAATTTGTGCTTAAGTAAACTCTCTTTAAAGTTTGAGGACTGCAACGGGGACACAAGTCCAAGTTGTCTTGTGGAGTGCTCTGGAGAACAAAAGAGAGGCTAAAGTTTTTAAAGAGAAAAAGGATGAATCATAAGAGCAGAAAGTTGTTCATTGGGAATTCTTACTGGTTTACAGAAATCACAGTGGTTAGTTTTTGGCTGTACATTGTTGAGCTATAGGGTGTATGGCATTTTGTGGTTGCCCACCATTGGTTCATCTAGAGCCCATATAACAAGAGTCTTCCAGAGGTAATTATTTAGCTCAAGGGCTAGTGAGATGTGAAGCTGTTACTTTCCAAATGCCTTTCTGGGCCTGATAATTTAAAGGGGCTTGCATTCCTCAGATAAAAGATTTTCTTTCTTATTTCCTCCCTTTTGATCAAAATCTTTCTTCTTGAAAGCATTGATTATCAAAACCTGAGTGTCAAGGTGTCTCATTGCCAGGAAGGCTCATTGGCCAAATGTCAAGTGAAGAGAGGAGACTTCTCAGGAAATTTTAAGAGCACCCAAAAGTTGATTTGGGATGGCATCACACAGTCCCAAAAATGAGACCTCAGTCAAGTCATTGATTTATATGAATCATCTCTGGTGTTCGGAATTCTGTGATTTTGTTATTCTTGGAAGAAGTAATACATAAGGATTATAACCAAAAGGACAATTTGTATGCCAGAATGGGGGGAAAAAACAAACAAAATAAACCCTATTCCATTAGTGAGTTAGCTAAATGTGTAATGAAGAAAATTAAATCCAGGTTCTTCTGTAGAGACTTGTTGTAGCCAGGAAACAATTCCAGATTTAGTCCAAATTGTAGGCAGATACTAAAAACTCAAAAATAATAGGGCTAAAATCTAATGGCAGGTATGCTATAGTTTTACTCTGAAACATAATTTTTCTCTCTTCAATTCCCCATTCTACTAAAGATAATCTTAGTGGACCAATTTACTTGGGAAAAAAAAAGTTTTAGTATTATATTTGGCCTGATTGTTTGCATAAAGTGCAACAAGAATAATGATTGGCTATATAGGCTCCTTTTAAAGTTGGCTTTGCTGGAGCTTTTCATGATGAATTTCAGATTAGACTTTTAAAAGCCTCTCAAGGGTAGGAAGTCACTCCAAGGATTCAACATCGGACTGTGCCTGTAATACCTACATGAACTGAGTGAATTCCTCTCTTCTCGAGGTCCCAAAATATCCTGCAATTCCGGGACCTGTCAGAAAGTGACATTCTTCACTATACACCTGGAGGGCAGTGCATCTAAATTTTTAAAAAATCAAGGATCCCACTTTTACACTGAATCTCAGTCCCTGGAGAGAGAAGGAAACACCATGAGACTGGGCTGCACAGGCTTCCGCAGTGCACCTTACTACAAAGACATTCCCCTGGGGCTGGTGACTGCAGTCAGCCCATCCCCCATGGGAGTCCTATCCCTTGGTGGTGAGTACTCTCACAGCCTCTGAGTGTTCAAACCTGCCTTTTTATCTGTAAACACTCAAAAAAAAAAAAAAAAAAAAACCCTTGTAACAACTATTTATTGCAACCACTGTTAGCCGCTTCCAAAACTGCAGCCCTTGCCAATGATATGCCAGTCATTGCATACCCAAAGGTTGTGTTCTATCACAGTGCAAAGTAATCTCTGGTACCCCTAAAATCCAAAAAGATCAGGTAATGTAATGCAAAAGAGAGAAGAGCTTTACACATGTGAAGAAGCTGTCCACGACTTGTCAGGCTACACAGGAAGACATAAAATCCCCCAAAAGGGGTGAGTGACACCTTTTTCTGTGTTCTAAGTCTTTAGAAGTTTCCTAGATTTCTTTGTGTGGTACCGAAGACAGCAAGAGGAAGGAGGAGCTTGAATATCAGCTTTTAATTAAGCTGACCTTTGACCATAGAGCTCTTTTTTTAAAACTCCTTTTAAATCTTTTATTATCAGATTTTGGCTAGGACAAACAGCTGATATTCCTGGCTTTTGAACTTTTTTAAACTAAAGGAGGAGGTGGTGCTGAGCTCAGGAGGTGATATGCAGCCTATTTCCTAACAGTCTGAATCCTGGGGGTTGGAGACCACAGCTTTGGAGGTTACCTTATTCACCAGAGAAGTGTGTCTTCAGTTACTCAACATTTTTTGAATGCCATTGTGTAGTAGGTACTGCAGTACAATAAATAAAACTGTCCTTCACCTTAAGGAGATCGTAGTCTAATTTGCAGATACATACAAAATGACAGTACAATTTGATAAATGCAGTGAGAGTTGCATGTTCAGGATTGGTAGTGGCACAGATGTGTAGAGTGGTCAGCTC